CTGACGGAATGTCTGACACGAAGTGGATCGCACGTTGTGTTGTGCCCTGAGACGTAAGGGGTAATCACAACAGTAACTGCTGTATAGAAAGCTGCTACGCAATAAACAAGTTTTCTCAATAGCACCATGAAACATGCGGAAAAGTATGAGACATATTAGGTCGGTCACTGATTAAAGATTTGACTTCGACCATTATACGATCATAGAACTTGTTAGAAAATAAAGTTTGTTTACGAATTACTTCAGAGGTTGCATAGCTACCCTCCTGAATTGCTCCCTCCCCTCTCGACCCTTTAAACTTCCCTGATCGAGCAGCCAGTGAATAGCAATGAATCTAGATCGGATTGGGATGCAGTGGCAGCTACTTACACGTGGAAGCCCCTCCGGTCATTTATCAGATCCTCCGCTTGGCGAGTAGGCAGGAGGGGAAGCTCCCTGCGCGACCCCGGCGATGGCGGCGGCGATCGGTTGCATCGGATCGTCCCACTCCTGAAACACGAGCAGCGCGGCGCTTTAGCCGGTCAACGCCCAATGCCGTCTCGAGTGTCACGTTCGTTTTACCTCATTCCCGAGTAATGCGCACCTGGACGTCAACGGATTCTCCACTGTCCGAGATGAGACGGCACATTCGTTTCTCCACGGTATTAGGATGTTCGTAACTACACGTCAAGGATTTTTTAATTTATTATCTTACTACGTACTCACTAAGTAGTATTCAGAAAGTCTTATAATAGCGTCGGATATCGGCGATTTTTCGTTAAAACTCGTAATGTGTGTAGTTTATCCGCTCATAAATGGGTAAATTTTGTGTCAACGAGTTGTAAACTACTCTCTCTAACATTTGTACATCTGGTACATCTTGTACATTTGCGTCAAAGTCCTCGTTTTGTGGGTCTTTGATACCGAAAAATTGATTCTCAGCAATCGTCAGTTCGTCTGTGGTTAACGCTAGCCCCTAAACCGTCCAGGCCCTTTTCTACAAAACTGATATTCTCCAATGGATCTGGAAGAACTCTCTCTGTGATTTTGAAACGGATATTTTGATTTTTGAAGACACTTTTTATTAAACCTTAATAATTGCAAAGTTTTCTGAAAAAATGGCTCCTACTTTTTTGTATAATATTTTATGCGGATAGAACAAAGTACACTTTAGAAATGACTCAGGTATAATTTTCGTTGAAATCTCTTAATTTCCGATAATTTCAAATATTCAATTTTCTTGTCATCTTCCCACTATTCCAATATTGAAGACAGAGATTTTTTCATTAATGAAATCTGTTTTCATTGACAGATCTTTAAATAGCGACATGTGCAATATTTCGAAAATTTGAGTAGTTTTCACGAAATATTTTATAAAGTTTTATTGCTTATTTTATCAAAAAACTCCAATGTTGTAAATATTTTCCTCAGATAATGTAAACGACACTTAAAATATGGCGCAACTCTGATTATTCGTTGAAATCTTCAATTTTCGAATATTGCAAAAGTTAAAAACAATGCAAGAAAGTATGTGCTCTTGTTGCTCCTAGTTCCTTCTGCGGCGGGATGCAGTGTGGAGACGGAACTCCTCTGCAGCGGCGCAGTGAGCTGGCTATTTGCTCCCGCAGTTTCACACACTACCCCTTCCCCGTCGCCCGCATGGGGCTGCTACTGTACCCAACCTCAACCCATAGATGAAGTGTTCAGATATCTTTTTGTCAGCTAATCAAAGAGGAAATGTTTCTTCATTTGGAGTGGATCTGTCCAAGGACGTGTATTCTCAACCCCAATTTACTCCATTCTACATGCCTCACTTTATCTAATGGCAATTTCTGTCTTTCCTCAGCTCGATTAGCACATCAAACCTTCTTCTGTTGTCCCCCCACCCCACTCAGCAAACAGCCGTGACTCAGTTTCCTTTTCGCAATCCCCTTCAGCTAATTTCTCTTTTTTCCCACCCTGAACTCCAGAACTTGCATCCTTATATCTAGTGATTTCTTCATTATTTCACCAAATTGTGAGTACACCACTTCCCCCTCCCCATTCTGCTTTGCATTCCCTGATTCATCTCCATAAACAATGAGGCTACTTATGACTTGTGTGTATTCCTTTTACCAATCGTCTTCAGCCGAGTTCTCTCGTCGCCCACTCTAGAGAACAATTATTCCACTGGTTTTGTCACTAGTTCTGCGGTTTTCGCTGAGAAGATAAACTAGTTTCTCGTTTCATTCATTTAGCCTTAATTGGGTTACTGTTGGTTTAATTGCATTTGCATTTCGGATGATAACATCTGACCAGAAATCGTCATTGAGTATGAACATCCCAAAGGAAAAAAAATTCTCGTTTAAACTGACTGGGAGAGGTGGCCCAGTGCATTAACTGAGCTCACTGCAATACCTCTGACGGGGAGGTCCTAGGTTCGAGTCCCGACGTTGGCAGGATAGTGGCTTGTTAGCTACGTCGAATTCAGTTTCTGTCTGGAGGAGAGTTCTAGAGGCCGGCTCCTCTGATCGCTAGTTGAACAACTTGGATTTAGGAGCAATTTCCGAAACATTCCTGTTCCATTCCAAAACCTTAGAGGTCAGGAAAAATTGCGAAAGTGATAAACCTCTGTCCTAAATGTTCGTGAATACGCAGACCGAAGCATTTCACTAAGTGGTGGAGCTTAAATGATCTCAGGCTTGTCCCATTTGCCTATTGAAAATCGCGAAATATTGATCTCTAACCTCCGGAGAAAGTATAAATTAAAGCATCTTCTTCACTTTAGTAGAAAATGTACTTGAACAGCGTAGATTTATTGCCCTAGAATAGAAGATACGATGTTTTGAGTGGTAGATTCATTTAGCCTTAATTGGGTTACTGTTGGTTTAATTGCATTTGCATTTCGGATGATAACATCTGACCAGAAATCGTCATTGAGTATGAACATCCCAAAGGAAAAAAAATTCGCTTCCTCGCTAACACTCACTTACCGTGTAAGCAAAGATGTGTTGGATGACATTACATCGTTCAACATTGGGTTCTTTCAGTTGTTTATTGGCAACATAGTTCAAAACGTTAATTACAGACAGCACAGTTTAATGTCGGTGAATGACACAATCGAGCAGCTAAGTATGTCTATCGTATATCTTTGTCTATCAAGTAATTCGATATTTGCGTAGTGTGTAAGAAAGTAGGAGAGAAAATACTTTTTTCAAAATTCAAGCACTTGAGTGATTGGTGTTATCAATTGACTTGAACGTGTATGAATAGGGGCTGTTGGATGTTTAAAAAAAATGAAGAGAGTGCGCGATGGAGGGAATGTTGACTTCGGGCGGAGGAAATGTTTCTCGTTAACACCAGTGCTTTCCTTACTATTCTGACGCTTTAATTTTGGAGGATGTGTGGTTTGCGTGTTGACATTGTAACAAACAGGAAAAGTTTGCAAAAGCTGAGTTGGGAAGATGTTTTGTGCGTATGAAGGAGAGATGGTATACTATGTTTGGAATGCCTCGTCTTCTTGCAAGCATCATTCGAATGTCTCACGGTTTCTCACTCCTCAGCCCCTAC